CTAGATACTAGGACTGGATAATACTTACAATTTCTCATCAAAGTATAAAAGAGTTATTAGTAAGCCTGATTTTATAGCAAATGTTATTTTAGCATATATCATACTGCATTATAATTTCTTGTTTAATCACGTCTGCACCTTATTCTGTGTTGTCTTCCTCACCCTTGGCCCCCAGTGTGTAAAAAGCACTCGGGGAAGTAGGCATTCAATAGATGCTTCTTGACACAATGGAGGATTTCAGCTGTGATTCGGCCACTGTCGATTGAGACTATATTATTGGAAAAAGTACCATTTTTCAAAGTAAAGCTCATCAAAATGCTGTGGAACCTCACTTCTGTTTTTGACTTCGCTAACTATATGGCCTCGGGTGAATGACTTCTGGAGGACTTATCTAAAATAAAAAATCAAGATGATATCTCTTTCACAAAGGCGTGGATTTTTCAATGGGATAATGTAGATTGAAAGCAGCGTGTGTGTGCATGCACACTTCCTAGTTTAGGCCAGAGCCATGGGCTAAATTTAGTAACGAGACTTTTCATAGGGACACTTAAAAGGTCCTACAGCTGGATCTATATAACCAACTGCATGAGAACAGAACAGAAGTGCAGCTTAGCAGGAACGTATCTAAAAAAGATTGAGGATTTTGCCTCCAACAAGCTTATTAATATGAATCAATAATATGGTGTGACTGTTCTTCAACGACATTCATTATCGATTGATTAATTATCCTTAATTACCTCCCATGTAATGGAAGTTTCAAATTCTAACAGAAATATCCCAAACAGAATTTCCCAAAGTGAGTTCTCCAGAGAATCACTTGATGTTTGTAGTTATTACGTTGGGGGTGGCGGGGAGAGCTGGTTTAGGAAATGGCAGGTTAGATAATTGAGCATCTCTGTTGGAAAATTTCTTTGGCCTTGAGTTATTGTGAATTGTGGATCTCCAAGAGGGGGCTTGTCAGTGCTTTGGCAACAGATGGAACAGGACCGCTGGTGGTTCTGCTTGTTTCTGGGCCCAGACGGTCCCCGGACCACTCAGCATGGATACCATCCTTTGTCACATGTAGACTACAGAGCCAGTATCCAGAGGAGAGCAGCCAGGACGGGGAGGGAAGTTGTGGACGTGCCATGGCAGGGACACTGTCGAGCAAGGACGCTGCCAAAGTAACATCCTCGGACGCGGTCGTGTCTTGCCACAAGGCCAGGTTTGTTGAGTGGAACCTTCTCAGATTAACCAATCGGGTAGCCACGCATCTGTGCGGGTTAACCCACGGAGAGGGGAGGGTGCCGAGGCTTACCCACAGAGCGAAAGCGTGACCGTCCTCTGCGTTCCTGAAGCGAGCCCTGGAACTGAAGCTGCCCTCCTCCTCTTCTCGTGTCCGTCCTAAGCCAGGGGCTGTGACAGGCAGAAGAGGGTCGGGGTCTTCGGCTTTAGCAACACCCGCAGGATGATGTGTTCTGGTCAGGCTTGAGCGTCATCGTGTGTCTGAGGTGCTCAGCTTATGTAGCCCTCAGTGGGCAGAGTTCTTCAGTTATCAGTCATGGGGACTGTGACATTTAGCTGTGACATTTCCGTGGTTTTGGGTGGTCCAGTCACACCCTTAGGGCGTTCCCTTTAGGTGACTTGATTGTTTGCCAGTTGACAGTACTGTCATGGCTCCCAGTGGAGTCCATTTTGTAAATTCCAAAAAGCCCTCAATTCTTTATGCTCTGTACAGGCACACAGAGGAAGTGGGGCTGTCTAGCCTGGGGTTTGGAGAACGGTCAGTTAGGGTTGAGGTGAAGGCGTGTGCGAGGGAGACCGAAATTGCCTGTCTGAAGTGTGAGAAAGGGATTGACTGTTCTGTCAAAAGGCAGAATGAGAACCAGTGGGTAAAAGTGATAGAAACACTTTTGGACCCAACCCAAAGTGGAATCTTTGAGGATGGCTGCATTTTACAACCTGATTCTGTAGTCTCGGAAGGCATAGTTTTTGGGTGGTGCGAGAGTATTAGATGGTTTTGAAACGTGTTCTTTAAAATCTCATTTAATCCCAAGTCTATAAATTTGTGATTATTTTCTTTGTTGGGCAAAATGTATTTCCTCAGCCTTTTATTTTTTCAGTATTGTGCTAATTCCTGTGCAAAATTAGAAAAGGCATTAATAATAATGTGGTTTGTGTAAATTTGTTAGTCGAATGACAAGACCGACATACGAGACAGTTGTTAACAAACTAAGACGAAATCTAAACGAAAGGCTCATTTTTCATCATCTGTAACAGTACCGCAGAGATTTGAGGATGGTAGACTGGAGAAGCATGTAGATTGGGTTTAAAGGATTAATATGGTTTACACGGCAGAAAGAACAGACACACTGAGGGTCAGCAGAGGCCCGGGAATAAAGGCAAGAGACATAGAAGCGCACTACGGATGAAACTGTAATTAAGAAAAATCCATCTGGCAGCTTTAAGACGTAAAGATTTGAGAGCTGTCTCCTTAAGAGTCATCATTTAAGCTATTGGGGGTCTTTGAAATCTTTGAGGGGGAGATTGTGGCTAGGGATGAGTGAGATCGTAAAGCTTAGTGCGTAGTACACCTGGTTCCGATTCATCCCTCTGTTGACCTTGGTAAAGCTGCGAGGAGAACCTGAAGCCTAGAAGTTGACTATAAATTGAATGGTATTATTTGCCTCTTAAGGTAATCATGAGGATTGAGATAAAGAATTATGTGATCAAGTGCTCAATAAATGTTACTTACTGTTGTTATTCGTTACATAGCTGAAGTTGGCTAAAGCAGTGGTTCTGGAAATGTGGTCCTCACACCAGCCACCCTGGTATCACTGGTAAACTCGTTACACATTCTCCCCACTCTCTTAGGGAGACTGAGTCATCTCTGAGAGTGGGGCCTGGGAAGCAGGCTTTAAAAGCTCTCCAGGGGATAGATAAGCCAGGTAAAATTTGAGAACTGACCTAGAGGAATCCTACAGTTGGGATTCAGAACTAAGAAAGGGAGAGAATTTAAAAGAAGGACTTAACAATAGTGTCCTTTGCAGTGTAGACGATTAAAGGCACAGAGAAGATCTTTAAATTTCTGGGGAACAGCTTTACACACAATGTTCAATAAAGACTTGTTTTTGTATTATCGAAAACAACTGGTTTAGTAGTATGTTAGGGATGGAAGAAAGACTTGAAGACAGTTATATATAACATATATAACATACAAATTATGTAGCCCAAATGATATTAAAAAGACCACAGAACCACTTTAGAAGGTTGATATCAGATGACCTTTAAATCTTATGTTTAACAAGTATTTTTGCACTGCCTACCAACTGACTGGGCATTGTGCTATCTGCTGTATATAGACATGAGATATAACTTGTTCTCAGAGTCTTCACAGAATTACACTTTTTTGACAGATTTAAAGCTATCTTTTCCCCCATAACTTTCTCCAGCTACAGAGGATGAACGCTTATCTGATCTGTTCTCTGAGGATGCAGAATTTAAGTGTGTGTTGGTCTTGTAGTCAGTGCCAGGCCTGATTTGAAACTGCTACGTCATCTCTGAAAGCATTCTAAACATGGACTTCTTTTATTATTTTATGGCTTGGGATATACCTTAGAGGTGATTTTAAATCTTTTGAAAGATTTTACGTCCCTGTTTCATGTGGGCTACCAGGGGTTTTTGTTATTCAGAGTTGTGCCTGTTGGTTTATGTCCATCTCCATCCCCATCACCAGTACAAGCACCAAACATAATAGTTTGAAGTAAAGTAAATTGACTTCTAAGCTTCATCTAGTTAGTTCTTATTTACTGCCCATTATGTGCTGGACACTATGATAACAATAATGAAATAGAGTCAACAAAATATGTCTTGTCGATAGCCAGGACAGCAGAAGGCCATGTATATTGAGTCTGGAGGAGAAGCTCGCATTCAGGGCCTGCCTGGGGCCTGGCTGCAGGTGAGCCAAGAGTTCAGAGGATCCCTGGCACACACCAGAGTCAGATTTGTAAATGTCTTACCGGCCCTGGAAGACATCCCCCTTTCACCGTGGCGAGGGAAAAGTGAATAAATTAGAATGGCTGGTTAAAAAGCTGTTTTTAAATCTTACAATTTTTTGAAAACAGATGGCATGGTATTTGAGATTGCAGGTTGAATGCAGGAATTATATTTATTTGTATTTGTGATCTCCCAGTTTCATATCATAGAGAGACTTCAAGAAAACCTGGTGGAGATCACTCTCCAAAATGACAATGATTGGGCAGCTAATGTGAATAATCATTTGTTAAGAATATGTTTTTTATTTCGTTCTGTTTTTATGACTGTATAATTGACGTATAACATTAGTTTTAGGTGTAGAACGGCATGATTCGATATTTGTATATATTGCAAAGAGAATATGTTTTGATACTTAGCCTAAGCCCCTGCTTTTTCCCCATTGCTTTGGACTTTGGGGCTGAGGTGGGTGGGTATGAGTACTGATGATATTCTTTCATTATCTTCTTTTTCTCTCCAAATACCCAAAAGAAAAGTAGGTAGAATCTTAGCCCACCACTTTCAAAAGATCGCCAAGACCAGGCCAGACTAAATGTTTCCTGTAGGAAGAGCAGCCAGTGGTTTCCATTCTCTGCGTATAGCCATTGAGTGTTGAGTAGGTAAATTAAAGAGAGATCTTTTTTAAAACATCGTAATTGATTTAAAGGTCTTTCTGATCGCAGTGCTAGAGTACAGATTGGGTATTTGAAAACCTAGTAGAATATAATTTTTTAGAAATATGGTTTCTCTAAAACTGCTGAATATTAACAGAAATTCCTCTAAGTCCTCCTAGCTACCCAAAGAATGCTGGTGTCCTGAAAACACTGAACCCAGTATGGAAATTAGAGTTATGCCGTTGGTTGGGTTATAGAGCTGAAGGAGATTTAAAAAGAAAGAAGGAAACCTAAAATGATGTGCGGTTTTTTGTTTTGTTTTAATGGCTGCTTTTGAATTGACTTCTTTTTTCTCCTGTCTTCTGTTTTCTGCAGTGAACACCTACCTCTTCATGATGCAAGCCCAAGGCATTCTGATCCGGGACAACATGAGAACAATAGGCGCTCAGGTTTACGAGCAGGTGGTTCGGAGTGCTTATGCCAAGAGGAATAGCAGCGTAAACGACTCAGGTATACCTTTAGTAAAGATGTCGTCTGTTTAGAATGTCTCCTCCCAGGAGAGGGAAATTGGGTTCAAATAATTATTTTTGATGGAACAAAGTACATTGTGAAAAAGGGGAAAGGTTTGGCTGAATTTGACCTTATTGCTGAAAAAGAAGCTCTTGCAAAATGAATCCTTGCTTGTTTCGCTCACACTGTCTTCAAGGTGACTTTTTGCTCCCAGTGCCCTCCCAGGAGGAGGAGGGATCATTACCTCTCAAGACCCCCTCCTTTCAGTGTAGCTGCCCCCAGTAGGCAGATTAAGCGTATGTTTAGGGCACCAGCAAAACAAGCATCAAAAAGCTGTTTCTGGAAATAATTTCAAAAAACGTGTTCAGACAGCCAATGAGGAAAAACAGAACTCAATGGGACTTCCTTATACTTATTTTATAGCTGCTTCACATTGTGGAGTTTGTTTGTTTTGTCTTTCCAGTTCCATGTGGTGGCATAATGATGGTCCCTATTGTTTTCAAAGCTAATCTGGCCCTGGTTCCCACACAGGCAGAGTTGCCCTAACCTTGGTTTTCCTCGTGCATTCTACTTGAATTCTTTCCACCCAGTGGGACTCATCGTTTATGAATGCTTTAGTTGAAACTAACAAGTTTCCATTTCAGAATAATCAGGTAATCTGGGACAGTTTCTACAAATTAAAAAAGCGACTTCTGGAAGAAAAGGTTAATAGGTCACCTGGTTTACCCTCCCCAGTCAGGTGTGGTTTTTGCCCAGTGGTTTAATTCCAGCTCCGTGGCTGAGTCTGGTGGTCAGATTCCTTCAGCTTTGAAAAAAGCTTTTCAGACCGGTCAGCTACACATCGTAGTGATGGACACAAGAGTGAACATTTCTGCCTCAGTCTTTGGAACATTAACCTGTGGTTTTTATTATCTGAAAAGCACTAGATATATATAAAGAGGAAAAAAGAACACAGAGGTTCGATGGCTTGCCTAACATCATATTGTAAGAACTTGTTCCTAAAACCTAGCTTTTACTATTTTTATTAAAGACCAAATACATGGGAAGTTCTTTACCTTTGAGAGAAAGCTGTCTTTTTTTGGTCTCCCTTTTTAACTCTTCCAAAAATTGAACACAGGACGTATTTCCAGATGGCTTGTCCAGTCTAGCCAGGGATGGTTTTCATTTAAAAAATCGGTCCTGAGTTTTCATTTTGCTAAGCGTTCATGATGTGTCCTTTATCTCTTTAACTGAGGACTAATGGGCACTCTCTGGCTTCTTACTGATTTCACTAAAGTCTACTGTTATAAAATATGTATATTTTAAAAAAATATTCTTCCAAATCGGTCCTCTCTTCTTCTGTAGTGAGTCCGAGGTAGTCCACAGCTCACTGTGGAATGTGCAGTTGCTTTGCAGACATTGCAGTGAGAGATTTTTTGTGAAGCTCGGGCTCTCAAGAGAAAACATTACCTCTCAAAGGGAAGTTCAGTTTTTAAAAGAATTGACCACATCCTAATTTATCCATGTGTCCTCATGGCTGGCTTACCAGCAACAAAGGACTATAGTTAGCAAACAGATAAGCTTTGGTACTTCCTTCTTGTTTGCAAAGAGCAACTGATGGACTTTTCAGAGCTTTTTAGCCAAACTGTGCTCTCGGACAAATTGCCTGAGCCGTGCACCACACCCTGAAGAGGAACTCCTGTAGTTCTGGAAGTCGAGGGAGAAGGCTGAGCACGTTTTTGTTCCCTAATTCACTGTGTGCGGCATTAGGTTTTGCAAATGATCCCCACATACTTTGTCTCACTTGACTCGAATATGGCTTAGTCAGATGGGCAGGATATTATGTTGCTTCCACTGCTCACATGTAGTACAGATCATCTCGGGGGTGTTGGAGTGCCATGGTCATGTGACTTTCCCTAAACCCTGCCCCAAACCTGCTTTAGGATTGTGCGGTGAAACTAGGGAGTCCTTTGACTGCCATTCCAGAGCTCTTTGTCCTCTCTGTCACTCTGGTTAAAGGAACATTTGTGCTGTCATTACATTTATTTAGTCTGAGTGTTCATGCCTCTCCGAGGTTAGATGATGCTAGGACTTCTGTCTGGGCATTTGGCCAGGTAGTCTGTTCTCTCCCAGAAGTTAGAAGGCCTCATAGCAGGACTCCATCTCTGCACAGACTGCTGCTGATTTGGCAACACAGGATCTCACGAATTCCCCGAGGCGTTGTTGTCTTTGAAAACTGAGTGCAGAAGTGACTTGCACCCTTGGAAGGCACACCCAGGGACCGATGATTTATTTGACTCTACTTGCATTTATTTATTCTCAAATTATCATATGCCAAAATATAATTCTTCCCAACATCCTTCTGGTTGGAATAGTTAATCATCTATTTTGTTTTTAATATGCCTATTTCCCTTATAAATTGGAAGTCTTTGCTGTTGAGGGCTTTGTCATGCTAGACACTTTATGTGGATCATCTCATGGAATTCTCACAAGAACTCAGTAAGGGAAGTAATGTGTGTCCCCCTCCCCCATTTTAGGGATGAAGGGTCGAAACACACAGGGATTGCGGGGCTTGGTGTGGCAGTGGGGCTGGAGTTTGCTGGCCTCTGAGTCCCAGCAGTGCCCTCACGGCCTCTGCCATCTCTGCATCCCCAGGACCTTGCACACTGCCTAGCACATAGGAGGCTCTCAGTAAATGAATTTTGAGTGCGTGAGTGAAGAGATTTAACAAGAAAACACATTTTGAGTGTTGTAACCTAATTCTGAGATTACCGTCTTGATTGGCTTCTGTTATTGGTACATCCTTAGCTAGTTAGTAATAAAGAGGAAATATAATGTCACTGGAAGTATATTCAGAGAAAACTTACCATTTTAAGCTATTTCAAAGCAGTTCTTTGCCTCGCGCAATCAGAAGAGGGCATTCTGGGCCTAAAACTGCTAAGGTAGCCGGATGACTGGCCCTGGTGAGCTGGCCACTCTCACCAGGAGCGCTGTGGGCTGATGAAGGCAGCCTGGACTGAGGTGGTCCACCAGCCCTACCGCCCCACCCTGAACTAGTGGAATGGCACATACTCACCTTCAAAGGCCTTCATTAAGTGTGGCTAAAAAGCTTAGAGTGACATTTAAGTAACGCTAGCCTTCTTTATCCTTGAAAGCTAAAATGCTTGTATAATAAGAATGTTCTTTGGGAAATCAAGACTATGAGCCTGGAAATAAGTCTGAAGAAATGACCTGGAGAAGCTTCTTCTTGTCACTGAAAGCCGCTGGTATGTGACTTCGTGAGTCTTGCAAACCTTATGAGGAGTAGGAGTAGGGGGACATGCAAAAGAATATTGACATCCTCTGGGTTCGTTCGATCTAGCCATTTAGTTTTATAGAAGAGATGAGAAGCTGGGTGGCCGAGCATTTCTCATTATTAAATATGAATTTCCAGGTGCCATTCTATCTAGTAACTTTTAACCAGATTTCTTACTTCTGTACAAACACGTGCACACATGTATACGCAGAGCTCCCACGCTTACGGTCCCAATCCCATCTTAGTCAGAAAAATGTTCTGTTATCCACATTTCTCAAAACAGGGCTGCTGCCATAGGCAAATAAAATAAATAAAGTCATCTGCCAGTGTGCTTTGCAATATGTTCAGTGAGATAGATATTCATCATCTTTTCATCTCTGGTTCTTAGATGCTCAGTCCATAGTCTTCTTTATGTCTGCTCTCCCGCAGGCAGTCATCCTTAAGCACACTAACTCTCGAAGGATGCTAATTCTTTATATTTCACAGACAGTTGTTCCCATCTTTCAATCTTTCTAGTACATATAAACGTCCACATTTTTCTTAAGCAGAGAGGCAAGTGTTTCATTTTTCCTCAGATGGGAAAGAACAGTGGTGGTTATTTTCTAGAATCTGTGGGTCAGCACTTTCCAGACCCTGCTTAACTAGGTTTGGTAATATAAGGGAGACAGCAGCGTTTTGCCACCACCAAGTAGCCGATGTCAATCGTGACTGTGTATTGGAATCCCTTGGGACTGGGACAGGTTTAAAAAATACTGATGCCTACATCACACCCCCAGAGGTTCTTCTTTAACTAGTCTGGTGCATAGCCTGGCATTAGGGTTTTGTAAGAGCTTCCTAGATGATTCTAACGTGCAACCAAAGCTGCTGAACAACTGATGTAGAGCAAAGTTAAATAAGCAGGCTGTTCGAACTGTAGGTAGGAAGGATGTCTGTCGGTTTCCCATTTTATAAATGTAAAAACAGCTGCTTTCTTTACCCTCCCCCCTCCCTCGCTGGAAGAACACGTCCTAATTTGAAACAGATTAGATTTAAATTAAAAGTAAAACTGTGGCCACAGACACGCAGCAGGCTCGTTCGTCTCTTTCCAGCAGTTCCCTCATTCAGAGGATTCCTGCTTCAGCAGAGTAAGAAATTACCGTGTGGATCCCCTGAGGACCATCTGCAGTGTAATCCGCCCATTTCCAGGCGTGGAGAGGAGAGCTAGGGCCGGCCGCACAATAAGCCGGCAGTTCTACCAGGTCAAGAGCAATCAATTTGCTTTGCCTCGTCCCTTTCTTTTAAAGGTTTCTGCTGCTGGCGAGAAAGCAGATTTTAAATTTTTATCTAAAGAACTTGAAATTAGAAATGAGGTCATTAGAGTTTTTGCAGGGGTTTTCCCCCAAGATGTAGGGCAAGATGATTGTCCTTTGATTCCACTTGGGAGTTATATATGTGAGGGTTTTTTTTTTTTTTTTTAATGACATTATTAATTTAGTAATCAGAAGAAAATAGTAGATGTTTTATTTTGTCCTGTTTCGTTCCATGCTAGTTGCTACCAGCCTTATTCTATCAGTGTTTGAAGGACGTAGAAAGGAAATTATCTGTGTCTTCAAACAGACCCCAAAGGTAGGATCATTAAGGTTAGGAAGTGTCTTGTTTCCTCTCCTGCATGTTTCTTTTTACTTCTTATTTCCTGTTTAGGTTGCAGCTCTAAGGCTTTGTCCCGTCATTGCCTAGAATTATTATTCTTTTCTGGTTTTGTTGATTTGCTTATAAAAATGCTTATTATAATACCTCTGGGATTTTTTTTGCCTTTAAGGCAAATGTAATTACTGTGATGCTATTCCTAACCAGCTTCTCCCTCCACACATGTGCACATCACAAACATACATTTTCTAGTACAGATGAAAACTTCAATTTTTTTTCTTAGGGAATTGTGTGTTGGGGGGAGGGGTATGTGTACATAAGAAGCAAAATCAGAATCATGCAGAGCAATGTTTAGTACTGGAGGTTCAGAAAAGGCTCAGCTTAGGATGGGTTTGCACATTGAACTGAGAGGACTTTGGGCTGATTTCTTTGTAAATGTAATTTTGCCTTTAGGGTTCACGCTGACTTGGTTTATGTCTTTATGTAAAAATGCAGGCTTAGGATTTTTCAGGAAAGCTACAACTAAAAAGGACAGAAAGTAGTATTCTGTTTATTTCCTCCCTTTTAAGAGACTGTTAAAATTCTCTTCAAGTTGCCTCTCATCACGTTTTGTTCTGCACACCTGTAGAATAAGCAGCCATGCGCCTGTATAAAAGGATTCACTGTGTTAGCCGTTTGAGTCTTAGAAACACTCTCATAGTGCTTTTTAAAAAACATCCGAGTTGAAGATTGGGGAATTCCAGGTTGCAAAGTGAATTCCAGGTTGCAAAGGAAGTTTTAATTCTCTTAGAATCAGCATGAATCCGAAAGGATTGTGAGAGAGATTTTAATCCTGCGAAAAAATTGCACAGTGTGATAGAAAGATCACTAACCCAGAGTTTAGTCAGATATTTGTCGCATACAGGCAAGTCTTCTTGTACAGGTTGTATATATGGTGCCTCGGTTTCCTTATCTGTAAAAAAATACAAGGTTGGAGGAGCCCCTTCCTGCCATCCCCTAGGAAAAAAGCATCTTTTCACACTCTTAAAACCCCTCTAAAGGACAGTAAAGAGGTGTGTGTGTGTGTGCACGCGCGCTCACACGCGTGCTGCGTGTGCGTGCACATGTGCGTGTGCTGTGTGTGCGCATGTGTGCACATGTGTGCACACATGCATGTAATGGCCTAAACTCTTAAGAATGAGGAGAATAAGAAAGGTGACCACAGCAAAAATTTTTGGAAGTTAGAAAACAGGGACCAGTGATGAAGGACTTAACAGTCTGTTAATGTGGCAGCATGGAAAACCATCCACCACCCCAGTTTATAGCCTAGAATCTCCCAGAAGCTCAGGAATTAGCAGTAGCAGGTACTTTTGGGGATAAGAATAAAGGTGGCAACTAATATAAAGATTAGTTCGGATACCCAGATCCCTTTCCCCATCTTGGCAAAGCACTGGAGACTTGATAACTTCCCGAGATAGTAAAACAGAGGGTCCCTCACCTTGGGGACATCTGGCTTGGTTTAGGTGTCCTCAGTTCCAGGATGCTTGTAGCCAGATCTGTACCATTCCGGCAGGACATTAGAATAGACTTCTCTAGGGAATCTGACCGGACCAAGAGGAATGACCCAAAGGTATTGATGCTGAAACCAAACTTCCGGCCATAACACCCTGTGATGAAGAACCTCAGACCCTCCCAGTTCACTGGTTAGTGCCCTGCTCGTAAATATTAGCAGATGACCAAGGATCACTGTGCTAGAGGTCAAAACAAACAAGAAGCAGCAAATTGGAAGAAACAGACTATGCTGGGAGAATATTAAGACAACAGTAATATATAGTCTCAAGGGTAAGGGAAAAAGGATAGCCAACATGAAACAATATACTGTAAGAAATGAACATTCAGAAAATGAAAAAGACTTTTGGAAATTAAAATTGTAGTAGAAGAAATGATCGTTAAAAGAAGGACTAGGTAAAATTGACAAAATCGGTAGAGCAGGAAAATGGCAAGATGGGAAGTCAGAAGAGATAAGAAAGTTAGGAGACGAGGTCCAACCTCCAAGCCGTGTTTTCTGGTCTCCAAAAAGAGCACAGAGTACGTAGGGGAGGAAAGTACAGTAATACCTCCTTCCTGCTGCCAAATTCTAGAATCGAAAAGCATGACTTGCTGGACTTTTGAAGGCCCACCGACGGGTCCACACAGCGGGTGAAATAGAACCCCTAGCAAGGCGCAGCAACGTGGAATTTCCTGGACAAAGAGAACGTTCTTTACACTTCCAAGAAGAAATTGCTGGTTACCTTTGACAAGGACCAGGAGTTGGAGTGGCTTCAGACTTAACAGGCACAGTGGAATCGAGAACTCAGCGAGACAGCATCTCCACAGTGCTAAGGAAAGCTATTTCCAGTCTCGGATTTTATAAACCCAACCGACCTATAAGTCACATGAGGAGGAGTAAAAACAGATACACGAGATTTCAGAATCACTGCCCATTCCCCCTTCTCAGGAGGCTACTAGGAGGATGTGCTCCATCAAGCGTTAAAAAAGGAGAAATTAAACGTGGGGAAGATGAAGTTCAATACTGTAGAGAGATGCAAGGAATCTCCAGGGCAGTGAGGAGGGGAGATCCGAGGGCAGCATCTCGCATCAGACGCAAGGGAAAGCCAGTCCAGTTTCGGGTGGGTCCGAAAGCTCTGGGCCTTCTTTGGGAGGGTGAAGTTGAGATAATGCTGATGCCTGTGAATGTCTTAAGTGGAGACACAGTGGTAAAGGGCACGGTGTTGAGGTCGTCATTATTTCATATAAAACTTGGCGAACAGAAAAACAGGAGTCACTGCAGGAAAAGATTATGCAGGAAGTGAAAAGTAATCATAACTTTCCACATTTCTCAGCTATGAATAGTATCTATAGAATCGTCATAATATATACTATAATACTAAATAATACTAAAGCCTGTCCTAACCACAGTGTTCCTATGGCTGTTGGGAGATCGGATGGTGGAAAGGATATGTGGTATGGGAGGGAATCTTGTCTCCATAGTGGGAAGTCGGTAGGTAAGACCTGAAACGAAGTATCAGGAGTAACCGTGTAGGCGAATGGAGGCAAATACTGAATAAAGTAGTTGGCTAAAGGAAGCGGGAGTTGTTCCCTTAGAGAGTAATGTATGGGGCGGGAGTTACATTGTAGTTATTTAACTGTATCCAGGTGCATGTAAAGCTGTAATACCAATAAGAACAGAAACTCTGGTTAAAATACTGTCATCTGATTAACATTTTAATTAATAGGTCTAAATTTTTAACTGCGGTGGAAGAACTAGTTCTGAGCCCTTCACAAAAGATGATACCTAAGAAAAAAAGTTCTTCGGTAGGCATCTAAGAACTGCAGAAATGGTCACATGTATCTGTCTGAGTCGCCTTTTTTCTTACCTCTCTAGATTATCCTCTTGACTTGAACCACAGCGAAACCTTCCTGCAAACCACAACTTTCCTTCCTGAAGACTTCACCTACTTTGCAAACCACACCTGCCCCGAAAGGCTCCCTTCCATGAGTGAGTAGGGCTCTCACTTATCTTCTTCTGCCTTTTATTCGATTAAAGTAAAAAGGAACATGTCCTTGCCCAGAAGGTCTGGCTGCACAGAGAACACAGGTGCCTCCCTGCCGTCGGATACCGGGACTGTGAAAGTTACGTGTCCTGACTCTTCTCTAGAGCCTCTGCAAGGCCGCTTGTGTTCTTGGTGCCATTTTCTACATCTTTCACTTTTCCTTTGCTCACGCACCCTCCTTTGTAACTTGGGGTCTGTTAGGATGTCCTAGAGAAAGTATAGGCAACCAACTTTGTCTTTTAGTATAAATCTCACACTGATTATAACTCGTTTGCTATGAGGAAAGTTATTTCTTAAAAAGATATTTGCACACCGATGTTCATAGCAGCATTATTCACGATGCCCAGAACGTGGAAGCAACCAGAGGGTCTTACGATAGACGATTTGATAAAGACGCTGTGGTACATATACGCAATGGAATATTACTCAGCCGTAAGAAGAGATGACATACTCCCATGTGCGACAGCATGGATGGACCTCAAGATAATCATGCTAAGTGAAATAGGCCAGAGAAAAAGTTGAAAATCACATGATATCACTTCTATGTGGGATATAAACCTAAAAGCAACAAACGAACAAGACAGACGAACAGAGACTCGTGGACATGGACTATAGACTAGTGGTTACCAGAGAGTAGGAAGTGGGGGTGGGTAGGTGGACAGCTAAAGGGGGAGTCAAATATAGGGGAGTAGGTGGAGGGTGAAGTGGGTAAAGGGAATCAAATACATGGTAGCTAGTTAAAACTTTTGGATCTTTTTTACTTCTTTCTTAGGATCCCACGTGTACTCTAAAGCGATGACAAGTATTAAGCCTTTTCTATCTCTTAGAGAGTTTCGCTTCTTAACGTGCGTCAGAGATGGAGTGGTCTGAGTTTGGACATCACCAGTCAGGGTCACTGATAAATTAATTGGGACAGCGCGTCTATATTTGTCTCAGGAGCACATGAGAGATGGCTCCAAGCTCAGCCACTTTTGAGAAGTTCAGCGGCTGTTTTATTTGGTCCTGACTTCTTTCTGTACCCCTGGCAGAAGGAGAACGCTAAAGTCCCGATTTCTCGATTTGCTGCTTTACCCAGTAACAGTGATGAACTGAAATGCAGTGAGTTGGAAAGCAGAGAAGGGGCAGTGCAGCCCTGACAAAAACACGATGAGCTGAAAAGGCGTTGACATTCCCCAAAGAGTAAAAGAATCTGTCATTTTCTGGCTTCTTAATTCTCTCCTTTTCCCCCCTCTCTATTCAGAGGGCCCAATAGACATAAACATGAGTGAAATCGGAATGGATGCCATTCATGAACTCTTCTCCAAAGACCCAGCCATCAAGCTCGGAGGTCACTGGACGCCTTCTGACTGTGTGCCTCGGTGGAAGGTAGGGTGTGAGGTCAGACCTGAAGCCCACCTGGGACTTGCCATCGTTTCGAGTCACCACAGGATTCGCTGACTGTGACGTTTCGTAATTTGTGCCCTGCTACCCGATGGAAAGTATTTTCATTGCATGGGAATATTTGGGAGGAATGGGTTTCCCTAAGTAGCCATAGAAATTTGCATCATCCCGGTGACCGAGTGTGACCCTTTCATCTTCCTCGCAGGAAGCCATTTTCACAAATTCAGTGCTTCATGCCTTAACCATATTCGCCGTTATTCCTATGAATTTAGTGGAATAGAGAGTGGAGTTAGATAGCCTGACGCTAAGGGATTTTTACTGTTTTTCTGCATGACTGTAGTCAGGGAACATCAATAGTGCGGACCAAGCTTCTGATACTGGCTTAAGTCCATTCTTTCTACCTTTATTAAAGTGCTTATTCCCTGCCAGCCCTGTAGAGGACGCTGTGGTGCAGCAATGATCAAAGCAGATCAGGAACAGATAAGTGTTTCCAGCCCCTTGCTGGAATGTAAAGTCAACTTAATGGCCATCATTAAAAAATAAATATGTCTGGGTTAAGGTGCATTGCACGTTGTAAGGGGAAGTAACGTTTTGTGAAGCCTCCTTTAGTTGGATGCTTCTCTGTCTGTGGATGCATCTGCACTAGGTCGCCGTGGGAGTGTATGCCTTCCTCTGGGCTGCGGCCTGGAATGAGTTCGTTTAGCAGGCCCACTATGTGCCCGGCATAAGAACAGGGTCCGCTTGCCAACATAGATCTTCCTTCAGAGGAAGTTGAGAACAAAGTCTGCTCCCCAAGAGCCGGTCACCACTTGTGCAGGAGTGTCCTGCCACGAAGCGGAAGTCGAGAGGACTAACGGATGGCTTCTCTTGCTGTGACTCGCTTCAGGTGGCGATCCTCATTCCCTTCCGGAACCGCCATGAGCACCTCCCCGTCCTGCTCAGGCACCTGATCCCCATGCTCCAGCGCCAGCGCCTGCAGTTCGCGTTCTACGTGGTGGAGCAAGTGAGTGGCCTTTTCCTTTCCCTCCTCTCTCTCCTGACACGGCGGTCTGGGTGCGTCAAGCCGATCCGTCTTCAGTGTGCAGAGCCTGTAGAAACGAAGTCTTCTGACTGAGCCACCTGAGGTGGGCGGGGAACAGAGAGCAGTTTGGTGCTCCTCGTAGAAATGCTGCTCTGTCTCCACAGATTCAAGTCCCAGAGGGAACCTTGTTTACCCTTGAGCAAAGGCCTCCTGTGTGGTGGTTTTACAGGAGCTCCTTTGGGCAGTGCCTTTAGGAGACCCAGGAAATTCCCCTCAAGATAAGGAGCCGCGAGTAGAAATGGCAACACTGTCCTTTCTTCCCCTTACGGGGCTGAGTAATCTTCTAGATGCTGTGTACGGCCGCATGCTTGCCTCTGCAGCGGCCTCAGGAGAGAGGAGCTTAGGTTTATCACTGTCACCCCCTGTATTTCTGAGGAAATCGAGGCCAGAGGTCAGGTGGCTTGTGAGTCGGTGATGAGTGGCACGGGACCTGCCTCATTTCTGGCCTCACGACTTTCCCAGTCGGTTTCAATCAGCTTTCTTTTAGGCAAGGCTCAGGGCAATGGCAATTTTGCTTCAAGAGTCCTTAAAAATGAAGTTCTGCTTCTTTTAGGTTGGCACCCAGCCCTTTAATCGAGCCATGCTTTTCAACGTCGGTTTTCAAGAAGCAATGAAGGACTTGGACTGGGACTGTCTTATTTTTCATGATGTGGATCATATACCAGAAAGCGATCGTAACTATTATGGATGCGGACTGATGCCAAGGCACTTTGCAACTAAATTGGATAAGTATATGTATCTGTGAGTATCTTTTTTTTTTTTTTAATTAAAGAAGTTAAATCTAAAAGGATAGAGATACAAAGATGGCAAATCCAATTAACTCCAACCCAAATGCCCATCTGCTGATGAATAGATAAACGGAATGTAGTATATCCATACAGTGGATGGCTATTTGACAATGTAAAGGAATGAAATACTGATTTTTGTGACAACGTGGATGAACCTCAAACGCATTATGCTAAGTGAAAGAAACTAGTTAAAAAAGACCGCATGTTATATGATTCCATTTGTACAGAATGTCTAGAATGGGCAAATCTGCAGAGGAAGGAGAATGGTGGTTGCATAGGATTGAGGAAAATAGGCAGAAATGGGGAGTGACTGCTAATGGGTGTCAGGCTTCTTTTGGGGATAATTTTAAATGTATTTAAATTGACTGTGGTCGTGGTCACACAGCTGTGAATGCACTAAAAATCATTGAATTATGCACTTGAAATGGGTGAAGAGTTATGCGGTATGTCCATTATGTCTCGATAAAGCCGTTATTGAAAATTCAGTGAGCTGCCCTGGGTATTGCGTCTCAGCAGCAGGAAACAGCTTTGGCCGGTCCTGGGCAGTAGCACAGAGAGCATCGTTTCACTTAAGACAGTTCTCCAGTGAGCCGGCCCGTGCACAGGTGACCGATGCTGTACATCTCCTTTTAGGCTCCCTTATGCTGAGTTCTTCGGCGGAGTGAGCGGCCTAACAGTGGAACAGTTCCGGAAAATCAATGGCTTCCCTAATGCTTTCTGGGGCTGGGGCGGAGAAGACGACGACCTATGGAACAGGTACTGAGCACCTCCCCCTCCGCCCCCCATGTCCTGAGCCACCGCTCTAGGTTCTGCAGGCCAGCGCCGCCCAGGATGGCATGACGCGCGCCACCTAAAACATTCCGGTGGCCACATTTAAAAAGGGGGAAGAGAAAAGAGGTAAAAATATATGTGACACTATATCCAAAATAACGTCATTTTAACACGTAACCAATATAAAACGGTAATGGGATCTTTTGCATCCATTTTTTTCTCACAAAGTCTTTGAAATCTGGCATGTATTTCACAACTCACAGCAGATTTCACCAAAATCTCAGACCAGAGGTCGAATGTTAGTGTTATGTGCACGCAGATTCTTCCAGGCCATCAGGGAAGGCCTGCATGATCCGACTTTGTGTGAACAGTCGGTGAGTGGTGTGAGCTAATATTTTTTCCAGAGTGAGTAAATGGTAACCAAGTAAGGAATGAATTAAGCAAAAGAATTTCCACTTTGTATCTATTTAATTTCTAGCTTGGCTTTAAAAAAGAAAGTATATGTCGTTGGTTGTTAATTACAAAGTAATATTTGCTGGTAAAAATTTATATGATACAGAAGTGGATAAACCAAAGCGTATAAGTAAATCTTAATTCCCATTGCCATCCTGTTTTATTCCCAAGAAGTAGCTGTTTTAACGAGCTGTTTCTTTCTGTATGTCTTTCTATTCATATTTTAGCAACTCAGACACATCCCTTCTCGTCTTCTCAACATGTTACTATAGAGAGCCAGCCTCTTCTTTATTTTTAACAACCGCATGGTATTCCTTTACGTACATACACAGTAATTTATGTTCATCCTCTCCTATTGTTTACAATTTTGAACATCCTTTGTTCATATGTACAAATATTTCTTTAGATGAAAGATTAGTTATGGAACTACAGAGTCAAGAAGTAAATGCACTTTAAATTTTGATAGTTACTGCCAAATTTTCCTCCAAAAAAAAGATTGCAAAAAAATGCCACCAGCGGTGCGTTAGCATACCCGTTTTCTTACACCAACCGCTTCCAGCGTTGGAAATAAACAGCCTTTTACATTTTGGCCACACGTTAGCCCTTCAGTAGCCACACGTGGCTCATGGCTACTACGTCGGACAAAGAAGCTCCAGACAATTCTGTTTCAATCTGATAGGTGAAAATGACATCTCATATTTTAAATTCGGGTTTCTTAGGAACCTAGGCAGGTGGAAGAGCTTTTCCGTACATGTAACTGGTGCGACTGACCCTTGAATCTAGTTGAACTGCCCCGGGACAGTTCATCTGTCACAATTCTCATCCTGCTCTCTGCAGCTCGGTGCTGGTGCAGAGGGCTGGCTCCCCCCAGCGCTCTGCACCATGCCAGGCACACAGTATTTTTCAAATAAGTATAATGTGGAGTCAGGAAGATGTTGAAATAATATGAAAATGACCGTAGATTTCACATAGAAACACCCAAAGTCTACCCTCATATATTAATGATTTCTTAGAGCCCAGTCAAGTTTCGAGTAAACTCAACTTGGGAAATCTTATCTTTGTCATATTAGGATAAATATCCTGAATACTTCCTCTAAATTCTAATTCCTTCCTAGTGACTTTTCGTAAATTGTGAAATTTTACATCTAGAGTGGAGGATGTGATGTAAATAAGCTCATCTCCATGGAGACATAGCTCTGCCTAAGTAGGGAAAATGCATAGCAACTCTAACTTTGCTGACTTGCTTTATGCTGGGTTGTGGAAGTGTGCTGTCCACCTGTGAAGAAAAAATGTTTGCGATGGGGCCCAGCTGAGCGGGCAGCGGGGAGTGTGTGTGCTCATCTGCCGGGGACACTCCCTGTTGGACCTGTCACTGAGAGAGAGCCAACGTCAAACCTTACTCTCAAGAATTTTTAATTTCTTTCTGAATTTTGAATTTTTTTTTCCAAAACTTTTTTTGTATTGTAGACTTCTTTTCTAAAACCATGAACTTATCTGGAGGGTGTAGGCAGTTTGAATATTTAGAGGAAGTTCAGCTTGAGGTTTCTCTGGCTCGGCATAGGCTTGGTCACCTATTATAGGGCTTGATCATTCCATCGAAAAGCCCATTTTCTTTGTCTTGGACAGAGTACAGAATGCAGGCTATTCTGTGAGCCGGCCGGAAGGGGACACAGGGAAGTACAAGTCCATCCCTCATCACCATCGAGGAGAAGTCCAGTTTCTTGGAAGGTTGGTGCAATTTATTTATTCCTCTTCCAAACATCCTCGATACTGTTCACCAAACATCCTCGATACCGTTCATTTCCAAACGTCCCAGAGCTTATCACAACCCCTGGTCTTACTCCCCAGCCCCTCTCCAAGGTCCTGCTCTGACAGCTGTTTTATAGTTCCTGTATATATTTTAACTGTGAGGCAGACGTTTGGGGGTGAAATCAGACTATTGGTGAAAAATGCGGTCGTAAGATCTTTTAAGGAAATCACTCGTTTGACACCTTAAGCTTTGTAGTCTCCTCTGTAGCCTTCAAGGAGTTGGAGGGGGAAAAGTCCACTCAGGGAAAGGCCTCTGTGACTTACACTGACGTGACAAAGCAGAGTTGGCACCCTTTCTGCAAACTCTAGTTCTGGAACAGTGTCCCTGAGCCTCTGTTTGTGTGGTTGCAGTTGATTTAATGCCTTTTGCAATAAGGAAATTCCAGATTAGACTAATTGGGGCATGTAGACAGAGTGACATCTGCATCTTTAAGAGTGGCTCTTTGTCTTTCTTTAACTTGAGGGAGGACAGCTCTCTGGAGAGCCAATTCCGATTGCTTGAACTCTCTTCATGGGATTAAGAGGGCACTGAATACAGACTCAGCTTTCTCATCTGACGTAATTGTAGTATCTTCCCTCCCACTTCCCTTCTCTGTGACCTCGGGCAAGTCATTTAACGTTGTGAGCCTTGGTTTCTTCCTTGGCTTAAGGGACAGGTGCATTAAATAATGTCTTAGTAAAACGCCTGGCATGAAGTAGGAGGTATTTCTGATAATAACAACATTTAGCGTGAAGTGGCTGAACGGCCAGTCACCCGCCACGTGGTAACAAGCACTGCCTTGGGTTGTGTCCCCTCCGATGATCTGCCCTGCTCCATCCTCTGTCGGGAGGAGACTGGACCCTTGCTCAGAGCCAGCTCTGTTCTCTGCATCGACAGGTATGCGCTGCTGAGGAAGTCCAAGGAGCGGCAAGGGCTGGACGGCCTCAACAACTTGAACTACTTTGCAAACATCACATACGACGCCTTGTATAAAAACATTACTGTCAATTTGACACCCGAGCTGGCTCAGGTGACGGAGTACTGACATGAGGAGAGAATATACGTTTCTTTACCCAGCGCCACCGAGAAAGCAGCCTGATGAGACGTCTGGGGCTCCACACAGGACGAGAATTACAAGTACAGTGTCTCATGGAGGATCACAGGGTTCCAGGAGAAAATGTGAACAGAGCACACGCACAAAACGCCTCCACTGTTGGGACCCGCTGGGATCGTGGGATTCGGCTCGAGACCTGCTCTCATCAGGACTAGCTTTCTGTTTTCTCAAGACAGATGTCTGTCCTGCTGCTCTTCTCCCCCCGTCTCCGTCCCGTCTTATCCACAACCTCCAGAACCATGATCCGCCGCGGTCCCGCCCGGCGTCTGTTCCTGCGAATGGCCTTTGGCGCCTCTTGGCCTTCGGGGCAAAGATGCAAACCCACCACAGGGCAGCTGTGTCTGAGGAAGAGCAATGAAACTCCATACACCATTCTTCATCTCTGGTGTTCTCTTTGGTTTCATTTAAAAAAAAAAAAACTTATCTGCTTTGGGTGGGGATTGAGGGTGGAGTGGGAGGGATTGGGGAAGATAAATAGACATGTAACAATCACTTCTTGAAGAAGTATAATTGTAAATAAGCCATGTAAAATGCCTTTTTAAAATTTAATTTTATAGCTGGCTTCATTTCAAACTGAGGATTTATATATTAGATCACTTATTTGGTTGGCAAATGTAGGAACTCCGTTAAAATGCAGTGGAAGAGTATATGTCCCAAATCGCTGTCATTTTGGAAGGGAGTGGATTTAGGGCATGTCACAAAAGAACAAAATAGTCCAATCTTTGTCACCGGTAGCTAACTTCTGCCCCGCCCACCCCCTTCTTCCAAAGTCTCGCTCTTGACTCCCTCTGGTCACCCCTGTGGGCAGTGTGCGCTGTTCCCAGTCTCTGCTAAACTGGGGGCCGCTTTTTATTAACAGCAGGCTGCTCTCCCTGCTCCAAGCGAACCGTCAGGGGAGGGCCAGGCAGGCTCACCCCCCGGGTCTCTGGACTTTGTCTTGTCCTCTCATCATCACGGAGAGAGGATGGATTGTGTCTTCTTTTTTCTTTCTCTCTCTCTACTTTTCTTTTTTTTTTTTTTTTGCTCTTGTGGAACGTGGTCACAATTTCTGAAATCTGTGCCTAAATTAACTAGCTGCAGTGATGCCGCCGCTGTTTCCCTTTTTTGGTTTCTGGACAGATTCTTTGTCAACGTTGTTAACCTTACATAGAACTAATGAACTGTTGAATGATGAACTTAGCCAGGGAGCAGATGACACTCGTGTGCTCTGGGTCCTCTGGGATCCGGGTTAGACCAAATCAGAGCTTTGAACTGAGATGAACTGAGCTCCCGGATGCAAGAGCCCAAGCGTTCCAGTCACATCCCCATGCGCTTTCTGAAGTCAGATTCTAGATGGCATTTGACTTTGTGCCTCTGTTTTTCCCTGAGCCAAATCCCTCAATCCTTAGTCCCCGTTGGCTTCTGCAGAATTCTGAAAAATGCCAGTTTTTCCCTTTCCTTCTCCATAAAACATATTTATATATCGTGATTGGGGGTACTTTCTAAAGAGTACTTCATATTTTTTTTAATTGCCTTGTTTGCCTTCAACTTCCTTAATTTTCATGGTTTACATGGATGCGTGTGTAGGGGTCTATTTGTGTATACATGTGTGGGTTGGGGTTTTTTGTTGTTGCATGTGTTGGTTACATGGACATATGATCCCCACAAGCTGTGGGAGTGATTGGCCAGGCTTAGTTTTTTGTTCTTGTTTTTGTTCTTTTGAAAAGAGTGGTATTTAGAAAATAAATTGCATTGCAAAGCTCTTATCGGCTCATATGAGAGAGCAGGCCGCTGCCCTTGAAAACGCTGGTAAGTTGTATCATATGTTTTAAAAGAATTTGAGAATTTCATGCTTTAAAAAAGACCTTCACGAGGGAACATTACACACAGACGCTCATCTGGATTTTCTTTGATGTATGGTGCATATAGCAATAAAGATTTCTTTCCCCTTTTCTCCACCCCCGCCCTCCCCCAGGGACTCCCCTCCCAGATCTCTGTGCTGGACTTGGTGCATCTCATTCACCCTTCCCATTTTCCTCCCTTCTTTGTCACTGAAAGCTATGAGCTGCTTTCAGTGTGACAAAACTATGATGTCATTTGGAAGAATTTGCCGGGACAGACGGATCGATTCTTGGCAGTGTTATAAAATGATCTTGTTTGAAGCTTTTTTATTAACTTATTTACCACCAAGAACCAAATGTTGGCAGAAGGCTCACACCTGATTTGAAAAAGGAAAGGTCCCTTTTCACAGGGTCACTTAAATTATCTTGCAGTCATGTGTCAGTTTGTTTTATTAGTATGAAATCTCTTACTGTGCACCGTTAGTTACTTATCCACCAAGCTGAGTATTGTGTGGGAAACTAAATCGTTAAGAACATACAGACAGGCCTGTGTGCTGTCAGTGGTGTGAAATTTTCATGTTAAAAAAGAAGAACAATAAGAACCAAATGTGACCTTGCGTATATTTTGGCAGCTGAGATTCTTTAAGGCTACTGATAGGCGACTCCTTAAATCATTCTTGTCTTTGATTACTGTGTACAGGGAAAGGTTTTTCCTTTCACTCTGTTTTTTTTGGGGGGGGGAGTTATTTGCAAAAATATTAATTTTGCCATTAAAGGGACTCCTTTGGAGTTCCTCTACCACAGACATTAAAAGCTGAGCGACAGCCACATGTATTGATTGTATCCACTCACCATTGACGATGACATTGAACGTAGCTAGCTCATTTACATCACTATGTTTTTTTGAGCTTGTTCTTATGTTTTAAGAGGTGCCAGGGGTACATTTTTGCACTGAAATCTAAAGATGTTTTAAAAAACACTTTTCACAGAAATAGTCCTTTGTCATTACATTATTTACTCATGTGTTTGTACATTTTTGTATGTTAATTTATGAATGATTTTTTCAGTAAAAAATACATATTCAAGAACTAAACCTGGGTGGTCGTCTCTCTTTGTCTAGGACAGTTTGGCTACTTGGGGCTTTTCCTTTCCGTTCTCACGGGCATTCGGCTGCTTTGTTTGCTCTTTCAAGCACTTGTCCGCTTTGCCCGGCTGACCGCTGGGTGTTCCTGGAGAAATACTGCCCGCCCGACCTCTGCAACCAGACCGGTTGACTGAAAAACTCAGCCGATGGAGCAAAAGCTGAACCCCACTGCACCATCCAGGCCCCCTCCCTCACTGGGGTTTTCTTTCAAGAATTGGCTCAGGTGACACCCAAGTGAAATAAGACCCCTGGGCAGGCCGGAGGAGGAGGCTGAGGATCGATGGACTTTGGGTCTCAAAGGAGTTTGCCAACTGCCTGAACCTGCCTGTAATCACAGCTTCTATTTGCTGAGTGTTTACCACTCACTAATATTTATCGAGCATGAAGTTCTGTGTCCAGGTGCTCAGGGTAGACGACAAGGTTCATGGTCTCATAAGCTTACTGCTTTTCCCCACACCCTGTCCTCCCAGGAGGAGGGCATGATTAAAATTCCAACCATGATAAGTGCTGTGAAGACGATAACCAGTGGGCCGTGAGTGCCCAGTAGGGCAGGCGTCTCTGAGGTGGGGTGGGTAAGCTGAGGGGAGATGAGCTGGGCGCCTGACAAGCTGCAGGAACCGGAAGCTGGTAAGGCTGGAGAGAGGTCAGAGAGGCACACCTGGCACAGTTTGGCTGGGGAGGTGACAGAGCCAGACTCTAGTGCAGGCCCTTGTGGACCAAGATAAGGAGTTTGGATTTTATCCTGAGAACAGTGGGTCCACGGATTTTCCGCAGGTAGGACTGGGTGTGATGTGAATAGACTTAATTTTTAATAGATGGCTTGGGTTGCAGGGAAAGTGGATTGCAGAGAAGCAAAGAAGTAGAGGGCTTATTGGGGGAGGGCAGTAGTGTGGGGACGGTGTGGAGGAGAGGAGATGCAGAGATGCTGACGTAATACAGGACCTGGACACACAGCCCTTGGGATGGAGGGATCCACTAAGCTGCCAGCTTCCCCGTTTGCATGAATGGCTAGGCCATTCCCTGAGACCAGGGCACTGGAATTAGACCAGGTTCACAGGCGAGATCGTGAGGTCAGTTGTGAGTGTATTGAGTTCAGGGGGCTTCGAGACAACCGAGTAGAAATAGCCAATAGGCAGTTGTACATATTCTGGTTTGAGGACTCAGAGAAACAGTCAGGATCAGGGGTGGATCTGTGTCCGGTGTTGGAGATCAGTGAAGATCCAGGAGTAGATGAGATTGCTCAGGGACGGAGTAGAGCAGGAGGCATAGAGGGAGAGCAGAAGGTGACCTTGGCCCAAGCCTTTATTTAATAACAGTCGAGGGTGTGTGGGTGGAGCAGACAGGAAGTGTGAGGAGAGGGAGATGAGCGGATGGGACAGGAGTCAAGAGTCAAGAGATGCTCGAGGGAGTGGTCCACAGCGGAGGCAGCAAAAAAGCGATGCAAGATGCGTGAAAACTAGTGATTAGCAACTGGTCACGTGGCAAGAGCCATTTTGCTGGACTTGGGGACGGGAGCGGGGGATCGCTGAGTGGGCTGAGCAAGGAGGAAATGAAGCAGCAGCGAGTGCAGGCATCTCGGATTCCACGCCAAGGGGTAAAAAGAGAAGGCTGGTCTCAGGAGCAAGTGTGTGAGGCTAACGGTTTTTTTTTTATTTATTGGGGTGACTGGTTAATAATATAACTACATAATATAATATAACTATATAATATATTATTATATAATAATAATAATAATAATAATATAATACAACTGGTTAATTATATAGGTTTCAAGTGTACAATGCAATAATATGTCATCTGTATATCGCATTGTGTGTTCACCGCCCAAAGTCAAATCTCCTTCTGTCTCCATATATTTGACCCCCTTTCCCCTCTTCTACCTTCCCCTCGCCCCTTTCCCTCTGGGAAAGTAACCACGAAACTGTCATTTGTGTCTGTAGGTTTTTATTGTTTGTTGCTTTCAGTTATATATCCCACATATGAGTGAAATCATATGGTTCTCAACTTTTTCTGTCTGACTTATTTCACTTAGCATGATTATCTCAAGATCTATCCACGTCGTTGCAAATGGCAGGATTTCATCTTTTCTTATGGCTGAGTCATATTCCACTGAATAAATGTACCACATCTTTATGCAGTCATCTATCGAAGGATACTTTTATTGTTTCTATGCCTTGGCCACCATGAAGCATGCCGCAGTGAATATCGGGGTGCATATATCTTTACAGATAAATGTTTTCAAATTTTGGGGGGTAGATAGCCAGAAGAGAAATTGCTGGGTCATATGGTCAATCTAAATGTTTCGAGGAACCTCCGTACTGTTTTCCACAGTGGCTGTACCAGTTTACATTCCCACCCAGCAGTGTAAGAAGGTTTCGAGGAGGGTTTTGATTTTGATTTCCCAGCAAGAGGAACCTGAGTGTGTTCTTGGGAGATGGCTACCAGAGAAAGATAGCTGAATATACGAGAGACCGGGGACAATCCGGCAGGAATGTTCTTGAACTGGTGACAGGGAAGGAGACTAAAAAAAAAACCAAAAAATAAAACCAGGGAGAATGAGGAGTTTCACACACCACCTCTAACTAGCAGACGTGAGCACCCTATGGTGACCGGAGTTGCTGTAAAAAAGAGCAGGGATCCCCTCCAGGAAGTCCCTGGAATTAGAATTTGACAGGTGATTCCTGCTACTTACTGCTTTCTCCCCGCTCAAAACAGTTTTAATTTGGGGGAAGTCCAGTCATAAAAATAGTAGTTCCCGTTTATCAAGGGTTCGTTCCGTGCCAGGGGCTGTGCTAATTAAGCACGTTGTACACAGTTAGTCCTCACCCTACAAGGTAGATATTGCCTACTGCTCTAAGGCAATTTCCTCATCCTCAATTCTCGATGTTTGGGGGCGGGGAATTCTTTGTATGGGGAACGGGAGGGTTGCCGCCCTCCGCGTACTGTAGGATGTTTAGCAGCACCCAGTAAGAGCACCCCCTCCTTCTCAGTTGTAACAACCAGAAATGTCACCAGACATTGCCAGATGACCCTGGAACAGAAGCCACAAAGCTGCTCCTTACCTGAGGTCACAAAACTAGCACACGGTGCCACCCTGGATTTGAACACCAGGCCATTTTTATCCCAAAGTCAATGTTCTGAACCTCTTGAGCTTCCTCAGATCCAACTTCTTTCTCGCATAGGTGCTCCTAACGAGATTTCATTCACAGACATAGTTCACGAAGACGTTTATTATACATGAGTACATGCTCACTGAAAAAAGTCTTCTAATTGCCTCCAATGCCAGCTGTTTGGCAGGTGCCTATACCTGTCCCTATACACCTACATGTGTGTATAGGGAGACCAAGACATGTAGACTTACACATAAATTGTCTTGTCATTACTTTTGTATTGAGACCTCTTCTTCACGATTGAAGGACTCCTTCCAATAAAGCTCAGATGTCACTCCTGAGAGACACTGCATAAGCACTCAGTGTAAAATGCCAGCCATAACCCTCACCTTTATTCTGTTTCACAAGATTCCTTACTCGGAATTCTATTGTATATTTATTGGTTCTTTGTTCACTGACTGTCAACCCTGCTAAAATGTAATCCCCGTGAAGGTCGATACTGCTTTGTTCTCTGCTCTATCTCCAGTGCCAAGAACTGGTCCTGGCACATAGTAGGTGCTCAGTAAATACTTATTGACTGAATGAATGACTGGACCTACCCTATTCCTTTGCATGGCCACATGTAGTAACCCATTCTGTGGACGGGGGAATTAATTTATTTAGCTGTTCCCCTCCAGTGGACGTGGAGTTTGTTTTCAATTTTCCACTATCACATTGTATGCACCACAGTGAACACAGCTGCACATAAATCCACGTGCACGGATCTAAGTAGGTCACCTGGAGAGAGTCCAAGAACTGAAATTGCTGGGGCAAAGGATTCGCACATTTCGAACTTACCAAATTGTCCCACAAAAAGGCAGCGTGGAAGAGAGACTTCCAGGATGGGAACAGCGCCAAACCCGCCAGCTAGATCCGGGCCAGTACAGAGATGGCTCCCCATAAATCCCCTCAGAGACTCTCTGATTGACCCCTCCCCTATGCTCCCAGCCATGCTGGTTCCTGGATGAGGCCTTTGCTGCCCTGGCAAGCATGAAAGACATTTTCCCACGCCAGTACCCCATCCATCCTGCCCTGTTCTATATACTTCCTTAGCGTCTGCCCACGTAGGATATCCACACCCTCTTGCCTCCATCCAAGATGTACCTTGTATGTAAATCCCTTAATAAATTGCTAATGCCATGATGGGGTTGTCAGCCTCTTTCTCTGATTTCTTGGGCCCAGGAAATTTTATGAACAAGCAGGGTGAATTAACCTCTCTTCCATCTGTGAATGACCATGCCCCTAATATCCTTAACCCCCCGGAACTGATTTTGTGTATGATGCGAGATAGGGGGAGGGCCCACACTTATTTTTTTCTCAATGAACTGCTAATCGTCCCAACAGTATTTATTACATAATTTTGTTTATTTGCAATACTATATCCGAGACATTAAATTCTGTAGCAAGAGTCTTCCATTCCACCGAGCTATTCTGCCTTACACGGTTTAAATTTACATTACTATATTTTTATAGTATGTTTTTATTAGACAAGTGTCTCTCATCTTCCAGACCCTCCTCTAACTTTTAAATGTAAGCTTTTCTAGAAGTGGAATATGCATACAGAAGGGTCTATAAATCATAAGTGAATAGCTCTTTGGGTTGTCAGAGTGCACATGCCTGTCTAACCTCATCATTATTATCAAAAATGTCTTGGCTATTTTTGTATATTTTCTTAATTCAGTGAAATTTAGATTTGTCTTCTTAATTTCTATGAAAAAAATCTATGTAGAATTAAGATGGGCATGGCATTGGGTTATTAATTTGGAAAGAGAGCATCTTTACAATATTAAGTCTTATCTC